CCAGTAAACACTTGATGGACAGATTTTCACCTTTCTAGTGCTGAAACTTTTTTTGACACCCATCTACAGATACAGCCACCCCCCACTTTGAGTACCTATGCCTTCTCTTGGGGCGTATCTGCTATCGACTGTGAACACACCCCTTTCGCTCAATTCCAGTGCCACCAAGAGATGGCACTTTCTTCACAAAAAGTTTGATTTCTTTAGTTTACAAATGTTTTGATAGTATTTCATGTTGGAATAAGCATTCTTTGAAAATGGAAAATACATCAAATTTTAGTCAGACCTTTCACACATTTTCCACTGTAAATTGCCAAAATCCAATGTATCAAAGAGACTCGTAGAACTAAATTTTTAATATATTTTTTGATTGGTTAACACTTGCTCAGTTCTGAAAAGTTCATTTTTAATTTACCCTGTAATTTTTTAAAAACTTGATATTGGCCAAATGTCTTGAGCCACCATCTTTTTTTCTTTCACCTGCTGTAATGTTGTTTTTGAGTGCTCTCCAGGCTTTAATAGTTGTTCATTGGACATTGGCTGCTTTTTAAATACTTTTCAGTCCAGTCTTTGTACATCAAGATCTTCAGAAGAAGGTTTTTTTTTGTTTAATCCATATGCTAAACTATTATTCCTTAAAAAGTACCTAACAACAGGTCTTATGGAGTGATAAATACAAATGTCTAAATTTCTGATTGAAATCGCTGTTTTATGTATGGTAGAGGTTAGAAATGAGGCCTAACAGTGAGTGTCTACAGCCAAAAACATGGTGCAAGCTAGGGCTGGGCGATATGGCCCAAAATTCACATCTCGATTTTCTTTAGCTGGATGGCAATATACAATGTATATCGCGATATTTTTTTTAAAGCCATAAAGTAAGAACAAAAAAAGTGCTCTTAGTCAAAGCTGTGTCCCAGATGTCACACAGGCACTTTTATTAACATACAGCGTAGATGTACATGAAAAAATTACTCAGAAATAAATTAGCAACATTTATTAAATAATAATGCTCCATGAATAAAATAAAACAATGTTGTTTTTGTGCATAACAAAAAGCTCACAATTGTGCATTCAAAATGTAAACTAAAAGACGCTGAGCATAATAACAAGGACAGAGTTTGCAGCTGCTGTGTTCCCAGGTTCTACTGCGTGACTGACAGCCTTGTTTGAAATCCACTTTGCAACCTGTCTCTTAACAGATCCCACTTGTGGTCCCTATACACACACACACACACAATACGGTAATATTACGGTGAACTGAATTATAACGTAACATAGACTATATCGATATAAACAATATTGTCACATCTCATATCTCTTATAAAAACATATCGATATATTTAAAAACTAGTGCAAGCTCTATCATGGTTTGGGACAGTTCAGCCAGTGGTGTTGGGAATTTCGTCAAAATGTAGAAAAGAGCCATCAGATTTTAATCCACGATGCAAAACTATCTGGAAAGAGTCTGATTGTCAACAGTTTAATTTTCCAGCATGGCAATGATACAAACTGCACTCCCAGTTCAATAATAGCATTGGCAGTGTGAAAAACAAACAGCAGGAAAAACACACAATGCCATCACTCATGGACTGGCCTCCACAGAGCCCAGACCTGAACATTATTGATTCACTGTGGGAGCATCAGAGCAAAACGCAGGCAACACCCAAAGAAGAGCTTTGAGTGGTCTTCAAGACGTCTGGAAAACTGTTCCTGAAGACTTGGCTTGGCTAAGAGAGTTCAGGCTATGTTAAAGAATGAAGGTGGTCATAATAAATATTACTTTCAAGCTAACATTAACATTATAAACTGTATTAACATGTTTTTCTCTGCCTCTTTCAATTAATAGCTTCACTTATTTTTCTAGCAAAATATAAAGAATTTAGTCATAGCTCCAACTTTTTGCACAATACAGTGTAATTAACATAGGCAAGGCAAGGCAAGGCAAATTTATTTGTATAGCACAATTCAACAACAAGGTGATTCAAAGTGCTTTACAGAGACATTAGAAACAGAAACAAATAAAAAGTATGATTTAAAATTGATTAAAACAAGCAAACAATCAAACTAACTAAACACACACATAATTTGAACCATGGAAATGAAAGCGTATTAGACCGGTGTTGACTTAATGGATGTAGGAGAGTGTGTGAAGGTTCAGCAGGGAGAGCATGTTTGCAGTCCACTGGCCTGTCTGCCTGCACTGAGCTCTGATGTCAAATGGAGGCATTGCACAAAGTATGTGGTACAACCACTCTGTGGGTCACTCTTGCTTGTGCTGTTGTTGGTCCATCATCCAGGCTCAGAGAAGAGTAAAGTTATAACATCCAAAGAGCTGAAGTGAAAGTTGAAGTGTGCTTTTCATGCTGTTTTTTTTTTTTTAAGTTTTTTTTTGTCCCCGTGTCGGTGAACTCTGCTGTCGCTCCGTTCCCTATTATGGCCCACTTATTACTATTCAACCATTCAGCATTCAGCAAACACATATGTCATCCACTTCGTGCAGTTTGAATTTTAGAGGACTGCATGGGAGTACGTTTGCAGTGTTTAATAAATGAACTAAAAAAAGAATTTAATAGAACAGGACTGCCAGTAAGTGGTTAATTGCTATGTCAATGTGTGTTAACATTCATGATGACTGTTTAATAATTCAATGTTGTTGAAACAGGAACTTCACTGAGCCCCAAAAAACATTTTCTAAAGGTCGGGGTGTCAGTCTTTAAGATGCTTTGCCAAGTTTGTTGTGTTAAGTATTTGTACTGGTGACATGCCAATTATCAACACAGGCTAAAGATGGAAAAGCCTCTAGCATCACTCATAAATTCTGATGTACGTGAGACCTGGTGTGTGGGGTTTCTCCCCTCCTTACTGTACTATCCAATATACTATTCAATTTCCCCCAAAAACTTGGGAATATTGGAAAGTCCAAATCTTCATAACCACCCTCAAGCTGCACCCTCCCCACATTTCTTGACTTTTGTGTGCAGCCAGGAATCTTGGTGGATCGTACACCATCTTTGTGCATGCTTTTGTTTGTGTGTTTGTGCATGGTGCTGTGTACAGAGTAGAGAGGTACGGTAGGGCAACACGGCATGGTTCAGGCCAGGAATGTGCGGTGTGTGTGGGTGTGTGTGTGTGTGTGTGTGTAGGCTGTACAATAGAACCTGGCTCCCTGGGGGTGGTCAATGGGATGGGTTTTACACCCTGCTGGGTGATGAGCACCACATAACGCTGTAGCTGTCAGCTCCTCTTAACCACTGCTGTAAACACATGTATTATGAGGGCACATCAATGCACATGTACACACTAGAACATACGGGAGCACACAGACGTGTTAAAGGTGTGTTATAGATAAGAACTTACAGACACAGCACACATACATGACTACAGACACACGCACACAGTTCAGTACTGTGTTTGTACAATTTTTACAAATTTGAAAGTCAATATGATCACCTTTATTCTTCAACACAGTCTGTGCTATTTTAACGAAGCTTTCTTGTAAGTAGTCTTCAGGAATTTTCATTTGTTCCATTATGAAGATCTTCCCACACTGCTTCAGTTGTGCTGAGGTCTGGGCTCTGGGGAGGCTAAACCATGACCAATAGTGTTCCATTGTATGTTTTTCTACTTTTTGTCTATTGTCTAGTAAAAAAGTGCCTAAACAATTTCAAATTGGTTAAATGCTCAGTTGTCTGTTCTGTGATGATATAGCACTGGTTCATTACGGGTTGGGTTAGGTGCTATTTCTGTGCTTGAGTGATTCATGGTTTTGTCGCTTTATAAAAATGATCCGCTGATAAGTTGTCTGTTCTATGAACAGTCAGGTAAGGACTTGACTATAAATGAATGATAAAGGAGCCAAAGAAAAACTTTGAAAGATTTGATTTGTTGCAATAGTTTTGTCCAGTTTAAGGTGGAAAGAACATGTTTTTTTAACAGTTCAGTTAACATCAAAAGTATTTGTGCCAAAATAAATTTGTGAAAGCCTATTTGTGTCATGTGTTTAGCGCATATCGGTGCATGTCAAATTCTCATAAAAGCAAATGTTAACATGCTCAAAGCAAATTCCAGCATATTAGCTTCATTAGCTCATCAATGCAGATACCGGTACATTTGGAGTTCTGCATGCATGTACAGACCTCTGTGCATCTTTGCAATATGCATTTGTTTACCACACTCAGACACACTCTCTGTTCACATGACTGAAGCACAGAGCATGCCTGGCATTGAGATCAGTATTGGGAATGCTCAACCTTGGACTTGGCTGGTATGCTAGCTTGCACAGGTTGATCACAGAGGCCACTGAGGGTAAACAAGGGAATGCAAAGATGAGCGTGAGTAAGAAAAAGTTCATACGGTCTCTCGGAAACACAAGTTCATGGACACCAGGATTTTGGTGCTGGTTTTCATTAGGATTGACTTCATAGTTCATGGTCATTCATCATCATTGTCATTATCAGGGTGACAGGTAGTGCAGGTTTTCAGTTGCTGTAAACACAAGCCACCCCCAGACGCTTTACCACCCATACCAGTGCTCTCTTTCTTTACCCCAGTGCTGCTTCAGTGTTGTGTGCTTTCCAAAAGCTTACGAGAGCTTTAAGTACACACATGTACAAGTGCACGCACAAAGCTGGCTTTGTGCCCTGATCTGTCATCTGCAGACACACATGATGAGGAATGAAGCTATGTAATTGCATTTGGCCTTCACTAATGGTTGCACAAACAAAGGTCCTGTGGCTGTAACAGGAATCATCATTTACAAAACAGCTTTTCTGCTGATCAGTCTTATCATTCAGCTCCCCCTAGTGAGCTCAGAGGAAGCTTGCTTTCAAAGTGGAGTTTGCAAATTACATTATGACTCAAGTCAAAGCTGTTGACTAGTGAGCTGAGTAATGTTTCAAGTTCAGCTTGATTGGGTGGTGTTTGGTTTGTTATGTGACTATGATACTGCATTGACTGTCTAATTTATTAATTAATTAATTTTTTTGCTTTCTCTTCCACAGCACAGTAAAGATGCAAAGCAGTATTTCCCACTCACCACCAACCATAGCTGTTGGGACTGGGTGAGCACCAGAGTGAAGGAGAGGAGCATCTAAAGAAGAGGCAAGAAAGATTTTCACTAACAGGTAAAATGAGGGTTTATAAGAAGTGTGTGCAGTGTTTCCACAAGCTTCGAGGCAGCTGGTTTCAAAGCTTGTATGTTCTGTCTCACCCCAGATTTTGGTTTACCTTGATGTTTCCTGTGGCTCATTGGCTCTTTCTGTGATCAGATCTGTGTTGTCTTCTTTTTCAACAACCCCTGACCTGCAACTTCCCAAGTTGAGCCTGGGAGGCAGGGGAGCTACAAGTGAATTTTCATGGCAGCGGCACTCTAGGGCTGCCATGGCAGCTGCTGCCGCCGATGCCTCACACCGTATTACCGCACTGACGCCGGAGGAAGAGGGACGACGGACTGCTGCCAAGCTGTTTGGGAGCGCCGCCCCACTGCCCCTGACAGAAAGAGAGCGAGAGCGAGACAGGGAGAAAGAGAGAAAGGGGGAGGAAGGAGGAGAAGAGGTGGGGAGAGCAAGTGGGAACGAGTGTTTGGTGTGTGGGGCTCTGTTCACCTCACCAGAGAAGCTCCGGCTCCACGCCTTGAGTCACACAGGAGAGAAACCCTTCCACTGCTCACATCCACACTGTCCCAAGGCCTTCAGCTCCAAATACAAACTCTTCAGGTACAGAGCCTTGATTTACATAGTTCAGTTCACATCCTTTTGAATACAGTGCAACACATTCAATTCAATTCAATTCAATCTTTATTGGCAGACTTCATGTCCATAAAAACAAGACAAGAAACAAGAAACACACACACAACTCCCCCCCCACAACACAAGGTATAAACCATTAAATATATATGTATATAAATAAGTATATAAAGCATTTGTAAACATGTCTGTTTCATTTAGGTATTTGTGTAAATGTACCAAGTTTGGTACATAGATATGTAGATCTGGACATGCCCCTTGCTCTTAGACAGATACAGACACTTTCCACTTATCTGGTGATCAGAGTTCTGACTAAAGGTTAGGGTGGTTTTCAGAAGATATAACATTCCAAACCCAAAATAAGCTTGCACTAGCCTAATTTCGTAGCAGGACAGTCAAGAAATCATAATGTCACCTTGAAAGTGTCAAGATCTGCGGAGGCAGACCGTGCGGAAATGTGTGTGGTGGACCCAGGTGCGAACACAAGCGAAGATACAGGAGTGGATTAAACAAAAGCGAGCCTTTTATTATGGCTGATGAAAGGAACAAACCAGAGTGAGGGCAGCATAAGAGTAGTAGCTCAACAGAAACCTAAACTGGACAAACTATGGAAAGGCTATGGCTGGAGATACGGAACACAAGGGGTGGGAACACAGACAACACGACGCAGACTACATGAAACACAGAGACTAAATACACATGAGGGATGATCAGGGGAAGTGGTCACACATGGGAGCACAGCTGACACACATGAACCATAACGACAGGACAGGAGAGGTGAAACTGAATACACTGACATTGAATACAGACTTTCAAAGTAAAACAGGAAACATGGAGATTAGACATGACATGAACTAAACATAACCACGCAGACGTGACACATGAACCAGGGAGACTTAGTACAGGGGAAGATGACATAAACAACTAAGGAACAAGACTAAACAGCAATCTAGAAATTAACTAGGTGCACTAAGCTAAGGCACAACAGAAGTACAAAAGATACATAAGCCCAAACACTGGGTCGCTTGACCCAGGACCATGACAGAAAGATTGACATGATCTCCATATATATAAAATACCGTAAACCTGTTGTACCTGTTGCTTAGTTTTGGCACATTTGCACATTTCACAAGCCCAGCCTCAGCATCTTTATATATCTATGTGAGCTTTATAAGGTGGTGAACTTGTTTCCAGCCTCACGTGGCCAGAAATTCATTTTTAAGTGACTAAATTCACCAACATGTCAGTGTATCTGGTGTATCAGAGCAACTGGTTCCAAAACCCATTCTGGTCCTGCCTGGAAGCCACTGTGACTCGTGTATGTATTTGTAGTTACAAAGGATTTGACTGAAAGAATGCATGCTTCACCAACAAACATGACAGTCAGACGTGTAATTTCCCCTTCCATTCACAATCTCTACTTTTCACAGGCATATGGCCACACACTCTCCGCAGAAGACCCACCAGTGCTCATTCTGTGAGAAAATGTTCCACCGCAAAGACCACCTGAAGAACCACCTGCAGACCCATGACCCCAACAAAGAGGCCTTCAAGTGTGAGGAATGTGGGAAGCACTACAACACCAAGCTGGGATACAAGCGCCATGTGGCCATGCACTCGGCCACGGCAGGGGATCTCACCTGTAAAGTGTGCATGCAGAGTTACGAGAGCACACCTGTTCTCCTGGAGCACCTTAAGAGCCACTCTGGGAAGTCCTCAGCCGGTACTAAGGAGAAAAAACACCCATGTGACCACTGTGACCGGCGTTTCTACACACGGAAGGATGTGAGAAGACATATGGTGGTCCACACAGGCCGAAAGGACTTCCTATGCCAGTACTGTGCCCAGCGTTTTGGCAGGAAGGACCATCTGACGCGCCATGTGAAGAAGAGCCACTCGCAGGAGCTGCTGAAGATTAAGACAGAGCCTCCCGATATGCTAGGTCTCTTAGCTACGGGCTCTCCGCCCTGCTCAGTGAAGGAGGAGCTCAGCCCCATGATGTGCGGCATGGGGCCCAACAAAGACCCCATGATGGGTAAACCGTTCCCTAGTGGGGCACCTTTTCCAATGGGCATGTACAACCCCCACCATCTCCAGGCCATGTCAAATTCTGGGGTGGGTCACCCACACCCATCTCTGATGCCAAGCTCCTTGTCTGCCGCTATGGGCATGGGTTGTCATATGGAATCTCCTGCATCTCTTCACCCACACTCCCATCATCATCACCATCACCACCACCATCACCATCACCACCATTCCCCTCCACTGCCCCCCCACCATCAACCTCCGGCTCCCCAGCAGCAGCACCAGCCCCAGCCAGCGCCCAAGTACCAGCTGGGATCTACCTCATACCTGCTGGACAAGCCCTTGAAAGTGGAGATGGAGAGCTTCCTCATGGATCTGCAGAGTGGCTTGCCAGGCCCAGTTCCCTCTGCAGAGCCCCACGCTGCTGCTTCACCCCCCAAGGATGGGCTGGAGCCCGCCACGGGCCTGGCGGATGAGCTCTGCGGGGATCCCCTTCTGTCTAAGAGCCCTGCAGTGATCGCTGAGTCTCTGTGTGCTGCTAACATGGACTTCTCCCACCTGCTGGGTTTCCTGCCCATCAACCTGCCTCCCTACAGTGCCCCCATGAGCACTGGAGGGCTAGTCATGGGTTACACCTCATCTGCGACCTCCTCAACTTCCTCTTCTTCCTCTTCATCGTCTCTGCACACTGCTGAGCCCCATGCTGCAGCAGTTGCAGCGGCAGCAGCTGCTGCTGTCGCCACAGCACCTCTTACCTCTTTGCAACCGCAACCTCAGGAGCAGCAGAGCTCCAGCGGGAGTCTGGGTCTTGGATCTCTGCACCCCCTCCCACCAGTGTTCAGCTCCAGCCTTAGCACCACCACATTGCCTCGCTTCCACCAGGCCTTCCAGTGAGAGTGCCGGCACCTTGCGTCTTGCCCAGCAGGAACGGCCTTCGCACCAGCCTCAGCTCAATACAGATGTTTCGGGCTAATCAGAAAGTTGGAAAATTAAAATGAAAGAACATTTAGAAGCCTTAAATGAAAGTGCGCACAAAAGCTTTTGATTGAGCCTTAAAAGGAATTTAAACCCCTTTAAGCAAAAAGGAAAAGGTGAGAAAAAAAAGTTGAAGCAGCTTTTATTTTGGGCTTTTTTTCCCTTATCCTATAGTTATACCATGTATTAACCCTTGTTTTTTTGGGGGTTTTTTCTTCATTTTTTCCATTTTCATTTATTTTTATCCCCCCTTTTTAGTGTTATAGAAGGCAGAATCAGTGGGCCAAAAGGCATGGTACTGCATACTTTCTAAAGTAATACTATAAAAAAAAATCAAAGATAACTTTTAGATTATCTGTTTTGTTGTGACCCAGAAAAAATATAGTTTGAAGTGGATATTTTGTTTTACTTATTTTTCTTTACCAAATGTAAGAACATGATAGAATGCGTCTCATCTTGAGTTTTTGAAACACCCGTGCTTATATATATTATAGCTTCAACTGTCAGGACTGATATGGAGAGAAGAGAGACCCCTGAAAGGAAAACGCATAAACTTTATGTTCTGTTCAGAGATGGCTTACACAGAACCATAAAAGTGACCTGGCCTCTATAATAAAAAAGAAAAAAAGTGCTCTTCCAACATAAAAAACAACAAAAAAACTAAATAGAAAAACCCCACAAAAAATCCATAACAAAACAAAAAAAACAAACAAACTGATGTGCTCCTAGAGTCAGCTCAGTTAAAAACAGACTCTAATCATAGATAAGAGATCTGTTGGCTGCCAAACACACATTTTTAAAGAAAAGCTAAGAAAGAGAAAGAAATGTGTGACAAATGTTGGCTTCATTTTTTTATGTGTTTCTCAAGAGAAGCACTTTTTTTTTCTTAGCAGAAGGCACTTCACCTTTTGTCTCCTCCCTCCTTGTGACTAGAGGTTTTCACTGAGACAGAGAACTCCTCGCTAGACTAGAGGAGGGCCGTCTTTCACTTATCTTCCTTTACAAGTTTCCCTGATAGTGATATAGTTGTTTGCAGCTTTTCCTAGCTGTGCCGCATATCTCTGAAAAATATCTCTATTTTCTGAATATACTGCAACCACATCTTTAGGCGGTCTTTTAAAAAGATGCATCATCTTGGTAATGATGAACCCTGACATATGTGAATGACAAAAAAAAGAGCAAAAGAGTTACAGTGACAGATGAGGAAAAATGTGTTGAAGAATGTTATTGCAGTGTACGAAATATCTCAAAAAATATTATAATGGCTTTTATCTCAGTAAGGTGTATTTTTGGTAGACGTATTACAACTAAATGATGATGTTTTTGATGTCTGGCAAGTTTACATGTGTGTGTATCTTACAGTTTTGATCAAACAAATGGATGAAGTATTAGCCTTTTCCCTTAAGCCTTCTCTGTCATATCTAGTCTTTACCTTTACATGTACTGAGTTAGTTTAGAGGAATCAAAACTATGGATGGGAAATATATATAGAACGCTGTTAGTAATTTAGTAACAACCTAGGATTTGAACAATTTAGGGATGCTGATATTGAAGACCTATGAAGCTACGTGTATATAGTAGAATATATACTCACCGGCAACTCAAATTACATACACCTTGCTGGCATTGGGTTGGACCCCCCTTTGTCTTCAGAACTGCCTTAATTCGCTGCACAGACGCCACCAGGTACTGGAAACATTTCTCAGAGATTTTTGGCATGACATTGTTGTAAACTTGCTGCAGATTGGTTGGCTGCACATCCACGAACCTCCCATTCCAAAACATCCCAAAGGTGCTTTGTGACATGACACATTATCCTGGTGAAAGCAGCCTTTGGAAGATGGACTTGTTAAGAGATGCTCTTCTGCATACCTTGATTGTAACAAGTGGAAGAATTCACCTTTCTTCCCCATTCTGATGCTTGGTTTGATAGACTGTTTTGACCATGCCTATGTGCCTGAATGCACAAGTTTCTGATTGGCTGATTAGATATTTGTGTTAACAAGCAGATGTATCTGAGAAACTAGCCGGTGAGTGTGTATCTCACTGTATACATACATTTATAATGGGGTGTAACAACTCTGTGACCAAGACCAAAATTGCAATACAAATATTAGTATTGCATCTTGGCTCAGTCTTCCCATGCTGTGATACCCATGAGGAGCTGTTAATGCCTAGTTAAAGCAATGTATAGTTACAGTAACAAAAGCTGTAATGTTTTAAAGGTTGTTTAGAATAATAGAATGAAATCTTTGTTCATGATCCAATCATGATAAAGTTAAAAGGCCTGTGTTAAAAAATGTTTTCTTTTTGTTTTTCATCCCCTGAAAAAAGGAACTGAGGCCAAAAAACTGACGTTTGAACTAATTTGTGGTCTCAAAGAATTGTTACACCCCTAGCAAAACTGCTCTGCTGTGATAAAATCTTCAGTCCAAGATCAGTTATCTTGAATGTCTTGAAGTTCTAACCATTCATTAAAAACCCAAAACCCAAAGGTCACCTAAACCTTAAAGTCATATAGGTGCTCATTATCTTTCCATTAAATTTAACCTGTAGTCATTCCCTTTAATGTAATTATTGTGCCTTGATGGGTCATGCTAACTCTGCACTCTGTCCCTCTTTTGTAAAGATTCTAGAAATGGTGAGAATTTGGGAAAAAGTTTTTGCACACTTGTAGCCTAAAAAAAATCCCTCTGAGGTCTAAGTTGACCCCAAACCTAACCCCTAACACTAACCCTAACCAGAGACAAAGAAAAATACTTTTAAAAAAAGTTAGTGGCTTTTGATGTATGTCAGTTAGACTCAACAGAATTAAAAGTTGCATTTTCTGATAGCACTGAGTCATCAGTATTTATTATTTAGTCCTAGGAGGGGTGACTTACACATGTGCAGTAATTAAGCACATCTATCATCCGTACTTACCTCATACATCACACAGCCACAGGAACACTAGTGTTATTGACATTTGAACAACAACCATAAACTGGGAGTCAGTCAGAGTGGCCTGTTGCTAGCTAAACTTTTACAAAGACCGAAAACCACATTACACAATCAGAAAAACAATTTAAAAAAATGTCTAATTTAATGATGCAAAGTTATATTTTGTACTTTCCATTGTAGCAAGAGGCAGAAGTTCGTTGCTAACATGACCCATACAGCAACAACGACCACATCAATAGGAAATACAGGTTTAGATCAATTGGGATTATTCTTAATCTTCTCATCGGTGACGATGCCCAACCTTAATACTGAACCCTAACACTATATTTTGGTGAATCTTTTTTTTTTTTTTTTCAAAAAATGTAAATAGTCTTTGATGTGTTTCAGTTAGCATGATTATTTCTTTCTCCTCTTGATTTGCAAGACTTGGCAGAACATTTTCTTTTAAATGTTAGATTTCCTTTAGCATAGGGTTAGGGTTAGGGTTAGTGTCGTCACCGGTAACAACCTCATAAGGTTAAATGGTCTTTCTGTGGCCAGACCAACACTGACAAATATGCATGTTCATATCTTTGCTAGTTCATTTTATTGGTGAATCTCATTTCAGCAAAAGAGCACCTGGTAACTCTGCTTTTTTAGCAGTCACTGTGCTACATGGGAACCCAAACACACAGAAAAAAAAAGAAGGAAAAAACATAGCACATAAAAAATGGAAAGTCAAACACATATTGCTGCTTTTAGCTACGGTTGCAGATGGATGACAACTGTAGACCACTAGAACATTTCATTTTTTTTCTATCTGCAAGATGGACAGCCAGCTGAAAACGTGCACGAAACAAACCGACAAAGTGTTCATCGGCCCCAGTACCACTCCCTCTGTACTCCTTCCTTTCCTCCTCCTCTTTCAGCTGCTTCGTAGAGTCAAAGGAAAAGGGTCTGAAAGTATAGTGATGTATCTGGAGGAAGGCAGTCACCGAACCTCTGTGCTTTGACATTCAAAGCAAGAGGGCGGACACGTGTTTGACTGCAGGACTCGAGGTATCGCTTATGCTCATATATTTGTTTTGTTTTTTGTCATTTGATATATTATTTTCTGTTTGTATAAAACAGGACCTCGAAAAAAAAACAACACAACACATCACCTCATTTTTATGTTTTTGTTTTTTTTGTTTTACCAAAACCTCGGGAGAAGAAACTATGTTTTTGCACAATTGCTTGTTGAAGAATGCTACAAGTGCTTTTCGTTTAATACTGTAGGATATAAAAGCCTGACAATGAGCAGCTGATGGACCCTGTTATTTATACAGGTGGAGGGGTTCAAGGTCCAGCAACTTTACTGCCTTTGGGTGGAAACACATTGGTCAGGCGTTAAAGTTGCGTACATTATTGCTTCAACCTCTTTAGACTTTTGCTCTTCTCTGTGCACCTTGGTAAGTAGGTAAAATTGTGCCAGAAACCTCTACTCTGTAGTTTCCATTTACACAGGTTAACCCTGACCCCTCCTTTCAGAAGGTATAAGAAGCTGAAACATTTGGAGTCACTGCAATGTGTAGAAAAGCTTCCCCGCACAGTCTGACTGTTTAACTTCATCCCTAAAAATTGTCTTTGTATAATCCAAATTTCAAACTAAATTGGAGCAGGTTTTACACTTAATTAGAATCCCATTGGAAAGTCATTTTTTGATAATGATGATGATGGCTCTTGCAAAATGATCAGACGTCTGATCCTAAATTCATTAGCTGTCAGCATCTTTCTTAGAATTTATCATATTAAAGAAAAGGTAAAACTGGTCTTTATTATGATCTCAAAAAAGGTGGTTTTATAAGAACCCTTTTGGGTTAAGCCAAACTTGTAGCAATCAAATTGAGCATTTATATATTTTTGTAACAAATAGTCATTTAGTCTTGAAAAAGCTTTTGGCATGCTTTTAGTTTGTCCTCCCTGGGTTTCTGTGAGCTAATCTGAATTCTAGCACTTTCAACCTTTTAAAAAAAAAAAGAGTATTTTTTTCTTTAAGATTTTCAGCTTATGTGTTCATATGTTTTTAATTTTGTATTGATCCTGTATATGTATGTGCCATTAGTTTGATGTGTAGACTTTATCAACTTGTGTATTTCTCTTTTCCAAAAGGATAACAGTATTTTTGATATACCTTTCACTAATATCCTTCTACATAAAAGACCTCTGCCCTTTTTACTCTTTTGTTCGTTTTGGGTTACCAGCTTTGCCTTCTCTCACGTGATTTTTAATCAAACTCTACAGCCAAGTGTTTGAAGACAACAACCACAAACCAACCACAGCCTGCCACTGAAAGCCTGTTGTAAGAGACCTGCCATTTTTTGACCATGTAACCAAACAAAAGTAAAGTCCAGAGCGACCCCACAACATAGATTTTAAAGCTTACCATTGTGGTCACAGGACTGA